TTTCTCCCTTTGTTTTCACCGTGTGATCCACCCAGTAACACTTTTGCTGTCCTAGGGTGTCTAATCTCCAATGGAGAAGCTACAGAAGCATCATGATTACTTCTGGATTAACTTTGGGGGGACTTTTTTTAATGAATGACTTGTCAAAAATGGTCTCTATGTTTTTATTTACTTTGGCCATTTTGTTTGCAAATGAGTAGGGGTAGTATACACCCCCCCATACTCATTCACATAGAGGGGGGCTAGGAATTGCCCCCCTTGTTAAAGGGGGGCTTCCAAATTCTGATAAGTCATCCCTGCACCTCTACAACAACTGGGCCAGGGTTGTGGGATGAGACCTTTGTCCTCATCAACATGGAACAAAGTGCTTGCATGCTCAGATAAGGGTCTAGTATAGAGATTAGGTGTGGGGTCTCCCTCAAAATCCATACCAGACCCAAAGGGGCCAAGTTTGAATTGAGGGGCCCCATGCTGGGTTTTTTTTTACTTTTTTTATTGCTGTCTCTTCTTGTGCTTACATTCTACTGTTAGTGGGGAATCCAGCTGACAGCAGATGAGTCATGGTTGTTAGGATTGTGAAATCCTACTAGTTGTTTTTTATGTTTGTTTGTTTATGAGGGAAACTGAGCAGCTATGTTGGTCATAATTAACCCTGTTTACACTGTGCATGCAGATCATTAACAGTTGTAAACTAGATTTTGAACACTGTCTGCCATAACAAAGGGTTAAAGGTTTAGGATTTGGGCTTCCTGCATTTTATGTTGATAAGAGAAAACTCTATAGGACCTTAGGATAGTGATCCAAGTATAACTTACAATGCTGCTCTAAGCTAAGATAAAAATCTCCCCACCAGTTGCAGTGAAGGGAGCGGGTGCCTATACAGCATTCAGGAGTGCAGAAGCATCATCAGAGAAAGGAAGGAGCACCGCTCACTGACCCAGTGCATGAATATGTGGATGACTGAGGCCTTAGCCTTCAGCCATGCCCCAACATGTTTCGCCCCATACACCAGGGCTTGGTCACAGAGGTTTTTGCCCAAGCCCCTTTGTGAGGCTACATTTAGCATGGCCATGGCGGCCGGAGCAGTCGCATAATCACATGCTCCGGTCGCCTCCATGTTCCCGCCTGCTACCCCCCGGGAGCCCGGCCACCTCCACCTACCTGGACCAGGGGAGACCTCCAGCAGTGCTGCGGCGGACGATCCAACGACCCGGCGGCGACGACGATCCCAGCATCTATCCGCGTGGAGGACATGTCTCCAGGACTTCCCCCCACGCCGATCCGCTGATCCGCCGACACCTCGGCACTCAGCTGCTCTGAGCCCAGGTACGTCGGGCACGCTGGGGGAGCGATCGGCCGAGCCTCCCTGCCGCTCCACCCCCTGACTCCACTACAGAGGTGCCCGTTCGCCCAGCCGCCACCACATCACTTGCCACCAGGGACACTAACAGGGGAGCCTACTACCCACCAGGGACTACAAACCACTATCCCACCAGGGACTACAAACCACCACCCCACCAGGGACTACAAACCACCACCCCACCAGGGACTACAAACCACTACCCCACCAGGGACTACAAACCACCACCCCACCAGGGACTACAAGCCACTATCCCACCAGGGACTACAAGCCACTATCCCACCAGGGACTACAAGCCACTATCCCACCAGGGACTACAAGCCACTATCCCACCAGGGACTACAAGCCACTACCCCACAGCACCTCCATGCACCGTGCCCTCCAGCACCTCCAGACGCCGTGCCCTCCAGCAGCTCCAGATACTGTGCCCTCCAGCACCTCCAGACGCCGTGCCCTCCAGCAGCTCCAGATGCCATGCCCTCCAGCACCTCCTGACGCCGTGCCCTCCTGCACCTCCAGACGCCGTGCCCTCCAGCACCTCCAGACGCCGTGCCCTCCAGCACCTCCAGACGCCGTGCCCCACAACACCTCCAGACGGCGTGCCCCACAGCACCTCCAGACGCCGTGCCCCACAGCACCTCCAGACACCGTGCCCCACAGCACCTCCAGACGCCGTGCCCCCCCCAGCACCTCCAGACGCCATGACCTCCAGTACCTCCAGACGCCGTGCCCCACAGCACTCCAGATTGTTGTGCAGGTCTGATCTGCAACTACAGGAAACGTTTGGTTGAGGTTATTGCTGCCAAAGGAGGGTCAACCAGTTATTAAGTCCAAAGGTTCACATACTTTTTCCTCCCTGCACTGTGAATGTTTACATGTTATGTGCAATTAAACCATGGTAACATCTAATGTTTTGTGTAGTATTATGTTCAGCAGACTGTGTTCTTCTATTGTTGTGACTTAGATGACGTTCAGAGCACATTTTATGCCCAATTCATGCAAAACTCCACGTAATCCCAAGGGGTTCACATACTTTTTCTTGCAACTGTATGCACTCTATTCTGTCAGTGTGGATTATAGCTTCTGGAAGCATTTCCGATAATATTCCCCTACACAAGGGTATGAAACAGGGTGCATTATATCTCCGATTCTATTTAATTTGGCCTTAGAACCTCTTTTAAAATACCTTTAAACATCGGGCCCTCTTCATGGAATCCATATAGGCAAGAGTGAGCTGCGTACAGCGCTGTTTGCCAAATATATGCTAACCTTTACGTCGGACCCTTTCTCTGACCTAGAGGCTTTGTAAAATATTCAGGCTATATTTCACACCTGTTCTGGTTTATGTGTCAATTACGACAAGAGCAAAGTTCTACCCCTCACACATTTTACCACATCTGGATGGGACACATCACCCCCCTCCTCTCTGGCCCACCATTACATTGTGTATTTAGGTATCAAACTATGGAGGGACCCATCATCACCCACAACAGTAAAATCAGCCTGTATATGCAGTAAAGCAAGCTTTTTATAGTCACTGTGGAACTTAAGGGTTAATCCTCTGCATTGTGTAAATAGGATTTTTGATCCTATCTTCTCCAATCCTCCCTTTCTTCCAAGCTCCCAATTTTATCTCCTGATAGAACAGAGCCTTGGGAAACTCTGCACATGCTCAGTTTGGTGTTTACTGCTAGAGAGTTTTTTCTTTTTCTTGGGAGGGTGCATGTGCATTCCAATTTGCTTTAGAGTTTTGGAGAATTATACATTGCTGGAATACTTATCTTCATTTTACTTTTCTCTGGAATTCCCAGCTGATGGCTAAAGGCAAACAAAGTGGCAGCAATGGTGCCTGACATCACTAATCAAATATGGCCACGGCTATTTTGGTCAATGACATTGATCAAGTTTGACCATAGCCATATTTGGTCAGTTAAATCAGCCACTATCCTCCCCCCTTTGTTTACAAACCAGCTGTTGGACAAGAATCTGTCATTTTACAAGGAGTAGCGATAGAAGTGGATTTGTCAGCAGGTTGCCATGTTTTTGGGGTTTTTTTTAGAGGGCAGTTGGTATCTTTCAACATGATTAAGAAGGATCTGTATTGCTGGAAACTGTGATTGATGATGGATTTACATTGTGGCATGTTGTTTAATGTGACTTGTCAGAGTGTATGGTGTGTTTATTTACTGTTTTAATTTGTTGTGAATGAATACGGGTATTATTGTCCCCTTACTCATTCATGCCTTGTCTGAGGGCCCCCTTTTAAAGGGGGATTTTAGATTTTGATAAGCCCCCTAGCAACAGAACCAACAACCACAGGGCCAGGGTTGTGTAGGAAAAACATTCTTTGTCTTGATCAAAATGGGAACAAGATGCTTTGACAAGTAGCTCGACTTGGCAAGGCACCCTCCCTATGTTGAGAGCATGTTGCCCGGTATGAATAAGAAGAGAAGTATGTATTTTGTGGGGACTCCATGTCAATTTTATTTTTGTTTTAAAGGTTCCCCCTAAAAGTCCATAAAAATACCGCTTATAAATGATAGCAGTTCCGGTACGTGGAGGGGGGGCATTATTTTTTTGCCATTTTTTTTCTGTACAAGTAACATTTTAGAAAGAAAAAAACACTTGCCGATAATGTACATTTTCCTGATGGTTTCTTTTTCTTTAACAAATGGCATGAGAACTTTAAGGGTCTGGTATGTATTTTAGCAAGATAACTGTGCTATTTATTACAAAGAAAAAATCTGGCAGGTAAATGCTATTTAGAGAGGGACTTTATTCCCTTTACTTTTTTTTCCAAATCAGTCTTGTCAGAAAACATACTCACCTGACCAGCAAATCATACTGCAATCTGTTGCTCAATTGACACAGCTCAGGTCCTGAACTTTCATCTTCTTCTCTGACATCATTAGGAGTCATTTTCTGGGATCAGGCAGCCAGTCCCTTTTGATCATGCAGCTCTGCTCACTAGCTGGTCTGTATCTCTACTACTGAAGCCTTCTGGAATATGTGTTGGAGTTATCCATGAGGCTGTGGAAGAAATTACATGTTATTTTAATCTAAGCAAGAATGGTGGTGGGGATGGATTTTTTTTTTTTTAAGTATGCAGGTGTGCCACTTCATAGGCAGGTTTAGGGCATCCCCCAGACATGTTTTTAAAGGAATTGTGCATTTTAATATTTAATTTTAAGCATTATTATCCCCTTCTGGTTGCCAACACCTCCCATCCCTTGAAGAGTTTCTAAATGCCAGAAGGTAGAAGAGGGCATTCCGATCATATTACCGCTGTGATTGGTAGTCACAGCGGTCACATGATTGGAAAACTCCTGATCGCTTCTGATATGCATTTGGAACACCGGTACCCATTCTACCACGGGGTACAACTGTGCTGGGAGTGGACAGGAAGATCCCTCTCGGAACAGAAAATGTTTACATATATATGCATATATGCTACCTCTTTGCTTTAACCACTTCCCGACCGGCTGTTGTTTATAAACGGCCGGACGGTGGCACTGCAGGGTCGGGTGGCCGTTTATAAACGGCCTCCCCACACCCTGCTTGTGCGCGCTCCCTGGGAGCACGCAGCACCGCGACCCGGTGCCCGCTGTGTCCTCCGGACACAGTAAAACACTGATCATCGGATGGGACCTCTGTACGAGGTCCCGATCATGTGATCACTAATTGGCCAATCAGTGATCACATGCAAAGTAGTAAGCAAGATGTCACTTGTGAAATCTGTGAATGATCACAGAGGTCACATGGTACAAGGCTATTCACAACAGCCTTGTACCATGTGACAAGCTTTGACCAATCACAGCTCACTCAGTAGTTCTCAATGGTTGCAAGAATGCAGACAGAGAGAAAGAGAAATGATTGCTTTTACATCCTATATGGGTGTAAAAGCAATCAGTGTAGAGAAAAAAAAAATCTTCATCACCCCCCAAAAGTAGTACAGTGTCACCATGGTGACACTGTACTGCTAGGGTGACAGTATGTAAAAAAATAATAATAATAATAAAATAAATAATAATATAAAAAAAAAATGTAAAACAAATTTTAAAAATTTTTAATTTTTGGTTATAAACTAATTTGGCTTATTTTTTTTTTACTAAAAAGATAACGGAATAAATTTTGGCCAAGATTTATGATGAAATATTATTTATTTGCAAAATTTTATAAGAAAAACACTTTTTTCAAAATTTTTGGACATTTTCATTTACATAGCAAAAAAAATAAAAATCCCAACGGTGAATAAATAACACCAAAATAAAGCTTTATCTGTCTCAAAAAAATGGTAAAAAATTCATATGGGAACAGTGTTGCAAGACCGCGCAATTGTCATTCAAAGTGTGATAGCGCTGAAAGCTGAAAATTGCCCTGGTCAGGAAGGGGGTAAAAGTGTCCGGACTGGAAGTAGTTAAAGCCAACCTGCTGAGAGGCTGTCTATACTCATACACCTGGTGGGAACAGGTTAAAATAGTTGCTTTGCATTAGTACATATCTGCCATATCAGTGCTCAGCTTCCAGTGCTCTTTGCGTTACAATCCCTTGCCTATTAGCCTTGAAATGGTCAGAATTGATTTAAAATTCCATTACCATTGACAAGGAATTTGTATTAAACCCATGTGCTTTTACATTTTGTCTCTACGCTTTTATTCATGTCCTGAGTTTAGCTGTACAAAGCTGAAAACCTTTTCTTAATTTATAAGAAACAAAAAAACAAGGTTCAATGACAGCAAAAAATTAAGTGAAGAAACTATTGTCTAGGGACCTTCAATACCAGTGTAAAAAAAATAGTATTTGTATAAATAAAATATTAATTCTACGCAAAGTGATTTTCTAAAATAATTTACAAGTATTCTGCATGTATGATAGTAGTATATAGCGATATAGGATTATCAAATGATATTTATGCATTTAAATATACAAAACACAAGCACAATAGTTTAATAAAATGTTGTATAATCTTACTTTATATTTACTCAGTGTGGACTGAAGTAGAGAATAACTGTATGCAGCATTATAAACATATTAAGCTATTATTCAGTTTAGATAGAACCAATAAAAAATAAAACAGATTCATATGATATACTATACTTCATACTACTTTGAAGATGAATGTTTCAATTTGTTTTTAATATTATTTTCTATTTATATTTACTGATGGTGACACTCTCCACACAAATATGCCATTTTATACTATATATTTGTAGTTCTTAGCGATGAGCAAGGTGCTAAAAATTATCACCTGTACATTTGAACTTCATCCTTCTCACACTATAAAGAGAGGGATAGGAGAGTAGCTAATTCATTAAAATTCGAGCATCAGAAAATTGAAGTAATTTGCACTACAACTAATCAAGTACATTCTATCAATTTGCAGTTGTAAGCTGAAGAGACGTTTGTTTTTCCTTTGATCCTTATTCCATAAATAGGAAGGAAGACAGGAAATAAAGAGGTACATACGTGAAAAGGTATGCAGAGTGCATCTGATGAAATCATAGATGGCACAGGATGTAATCAGAAATACCAATTCATTCAACACGTTTTTTTAATCTGATTATAGACTGATGAAGCAGTTTGATTTCATCTGCAATTGTAACATGGCTAAATATACTGGTAGATGTTGTCATAACTGAAAGGGTTAATTGGTAACACGTCCCGTCCTTGTTGCCTCGGCTGCCTCATGATCTTGGTAATAATGCAAGTGACACACAGGTATCATTCAAGCATTTATTTAACGTTTACTACGGTGCATTTGGAAAAAGGGTGGGCCATCAAAGTGACCAATCACTAACTACACAAAAACAAGTATCTATACGTAAAAATGAGGAAATACTACATCAGCAGCTGTACCATACATGGCGTATCCGTTTACACAGAAATGAGAAATCATTCCTGGGAAATCAAAACTAACCTGTTACACTTACATATGAAGTGGAGACAGCATAACAAAATGAATACAATGAATGTACATATTTTTTCCTTCAATCCCTCCATTTTTATTCGTTGATTATAGTTTTTGTCTCCAATATGAATCAGAGACTACCAAAACCTGGTTGAAAAAACACATGCATAGTTTTATCATGATATACACCATTAAAATTACTACTAGGCATAGTAGAATAAGCATACCAATTCATTGGAACCATCCATATATGGACCCATTACCATCTCCCCCCCCCCAGACCTTTGAATGGGTTCCAACTAGAGATGAGCGAATTATTCAAAAAAAATCGATTTGGCTGATTCGCCGAATTTGCGGGAGAAATTTGATTCGATGCAAATTTATTCGCCGCAAATTTAACTTATTAAAAGGGTTTCTAGGCTTCAGAGAGCCTTTATATTAGTGCAGAACACTGTACCTTTAATTTAAATGCCCTTGGAGTCTGCTGGGGAAGAGAAATAATACTGTCAGTCAGTATGATATGCAGATGAGTGCCGTCGATCTTAGAATCACCGCACACTTCACTCATTTGGGCAGTCACGGGGCACGACGAAGAAGAAGAAGAAGAAGAAGCAGAAGAAGAAGAATGAAAAGAAGAAGAAGAAGAAGAAGAAGAATGAAAAGAAGAAGAAGAAGAAAGAAGAATGAAAAGAAGAATGAAAAGAAGAAGAAGAAGAATGAAAAGAAGAAGAATGAAAAGAAGAAGAAGAAGAATGAAAAGAAGAAGAAGAATGAGAAGAAGAATGAGAAGAAGAATGAAAAGAAGAATGAAAAGAAGAATGAGAAGAATGAAAAGAAGAATGGAAAGAAGAAGAAGAAGAATGAAAAGAAGAATGAGAAGAAGAATGAAAAGAAGAATGAAAAGAATGAAAAGAAGAATGAAAAGAATGAAAAGAAGAATGAAAAGAAGAAGAAGAAGAATGAAAAGAAGAATGAAAAGAAGAAGAAGAAGAATGAAAAGAAGAATGAAAAGAAGAAGAAGAAGAATGAAAAGAAGAAGAAGAAGAATGAAAAGAAGAAGAAGAATGAAAAGAAGAATAAAAAGAAGAAGAAGAATGAAAAGAAGAATGAAAAGAAGAAGAAGAATGAAAAGAAGAATGAAAAGAAGAATGAAAAGAAGAAGAAGAATGAAAAGAAGAATGAAAAGAAGAAGAAGAAGAATGAAAAGAAGAAGAAGAAGAAGAATGAAAAGAAGAATGAAAAGAAGAAGAAGAAGAATGAAAAGAAGAAGAAGAAGAATGAAAAGAAGAAGAATGAAAAGAAGAATGAAAAGAAGAAGAAGAAGAATGAAAAGAAGAATGAAAAGAAGAAGAAGAATGAAAAGAAGAAGAAGAATGAAAAGAAGAAGAATGAAAAGAAGAAGAAGAATGAGAAGAAGAATGAGGAAAAGAATGAAAAGAAGAATGAAAAGAAGAAGAAGAATGAAAAGAAGAATGAAAAGAAGAAGAAGAAGAATGAAAAGAAGAAGAAGAAGAAGAATGAAAAGAAGAATGAAAAGAAGAAGAATGAAAAGAAGAGGAAGAAGAATGAAAAGAAGAATGAAAAGAAGAAGAAGAAGAATGAAAAGAAGAAGCAGAAGAATGAAAAGAAGAATGAAAAGAAGAAGAAGAAGAAGAATGAAAAGAAGAAGAATGAAAAGAAGAAGAAGAAGAATGAAAAGAAGAAGAAGAAGAATGAAAAGAAGAATGAAAAGAAGAAGAAGAAGAAGAATGAAAAGAAGAAGAAGAAGAATGAATGAAAAGAAGAATGAAAAGAAGAAGAAGAAGAATGAAAAGAAGAAGAAGAATGAAAAGAAGAAGAATTCCAGTACAGCAAAAAGTGTATCTGCAGAGAGCTCCGCTATTTCTGACAGTTCTCTGACAGTTCCTTCACATTTACAGCGGTTGAAACATTGTATCTATTTATTTCCGAATAAAAACATCTGTATCCTAAATGGAAACAAATAGATACAATGTTTCAAACGCTGTAAATGAACTGTCAGAACTGTCAGAAATAGCGGAGCTCTCTGCAGTGACACTTTTGCCGGCTGATCGGGGGAAAATTCGATTCGTGCACCCGAAGTTTGCTAAAATTCGGATTCGATGCGAATTGAATTTTTCCTGATATTCAAAACTAATTCCACTTCGCCAAGTTCGATTCGCTCATCTCTAGTTCCAACCGTCCTGTGCACTGCGTAAGTGTAACTGTGCCTAGATTCATTTTGTAAGTTTGAGACTTCCTTTGTGTGTTGTTTTATTACATCATAATACTCTGGTATCTTCAGAGAAGTGTTGTGTATCCAGGTACAAGATTCATAATCTTCGGTTACCTCACACAAACCTGTTAATGCAGAACCCAAACTTTCTATTGCCAAATCATGTAGCATTAATTGTTTACTTGCTTCCCTAAGCTCTCTATTAAGCATTCCTACTTCTTGGTCTGTATCATTTATGACACCGTCCATGATTATGCTGTAGTTATTTAACCTGTTCATCACCATAATTCTTTGGCTTCATGAACAATATCCAGTAACTGGACTACCGCACAACCCATCAATCATTTCTCATCAGTGGGTCTAGAGCAGGATCCATCTACAAATAGATCTATAGCTCCAGGAATTGGATTTTGCTGCATGTCTGCTCTACTGGTGGTGTCTTTATGAATAACCTGAACACAATGGTGTTCCCCTGGAAGTATGTCAGTTTCCCCTTTCAAACCAAGCATAGAGTTTAACAGGGTCAAGGGGCCAGAATTGGGGCCAGGGTTTTTCATTTCTAGATTATTAGTAGTGGTGAGGATAACCTCATATCCACTGGCTCTTTTGGGCTGTCATATGTTGGGTAGTAAGACTCTTTAAAACATGCAGCACATGATGGGAAGTGAGTAAGATAGTTTTATGTCCCAGGGTTACACTCATGGAAGCCTACACTGCCATGGAACAAATGGCCAGGGATTTCAGACATGCTGGCATGCCCTGCACCAGATTTGGTACTA